GCTCCGGGACGCGCCCCGCGACCTCCCGGGGGACGGGGTGTCCCCGAGCGCCCTCCCGAAGGGCCGGGGGGACGCTCCGGGGTGGGGTTGGGGTGCTTCTTAGGACCGCGGAGGCCGGCTTGCAGGCCTCCCAGAGCTGCGTCTCGGGGTGGGAGCCGCTCGGGCCCGGGTTCCGCCCTCGCGCCGGGCGGCCGCCGGAGCCGGGGGACGCGATCCCGGGCGCTCGGAGCCGCGGCGTGGGGCTCGGCAGCCCCTGTCGCACTGTGCGAGCCCTGAGATCAAGCCGACGTCCCGGCTCCATGTCGGGCCTTCTCGGCGTCCTCAGAACTTGGTCACAGCCCACTGTCGCGTTTCACAGCACCGGGAAAGCCTTGCCGTGGAGTTTAAAAAGCCACTCTGATCGAATTTCCTTGAGCTTAAGAGTTCATCTCCTTTCCCAAGGCTGCGTTCAAAGCAAAACAAAACAAAAACAGCTTTGTTGAGCTCTAATTCACATCCCATACAATTCACCGATTTAAGGCGCATAATAAACGGTTTTTAGCATAGTCACAGACTCCGACCACCACCGCAATCAATTTTAGGACATTTAGTTACACACACACCCCTAAGATATCTCGCACCCATCAGCAGCCACTCCCTGATTCCTCCCAACACCCTCCTCCCCCCCTCCCCCCCGGCCGCCAGTCCTAGGCTATCACCCATCTTTCTGTCTCTGTAGATTTCCCTAAGCCGGATATTTCATATAAATGGAGTTCTGCAATATGCAGCCCTTTCTGTCAGGCTTATTTCATATTGTTTTCGAGGTTCACCCATGTTGTACAATACAACAGTACTTCATTCTTTGTATCACCAACTTGTATTCCCTTGTATGAATATACCACATTTCATGTACCAGTTCACCAACTGATGGACATATAGGCTGTTTCCATTTGGGGACTATTAGGAATTCTACTGTGAACATTCATGTACAAGATTTTGTGTGGACATATGCTTTCATTTTAGGAGCAGAATGGCTGGATCTACGGTAACTCTATGTTTAACCAGAGCTGCCAGACGTTTCCCAAAGCAGCCACATCATTTTCCAAACCCACCCACAATGTATAAGGGTTCCTGTTTCTCCAAATCCCCACCAACACTTGTTATCATCTGTCTTTTTAATTATAGCCTTTCTAGGGGGTGTTACGTTTCCTTGTGGTTTTGATTTGCATAAGGTACATAGATTTGCTTGCTTACTTGCTTTTCCTTTCTGTTGTTGTTTTTAGAAATATGAAAGAACTCAGGGACAAAGGAATTGATCTAATTTTTTCTTCTTTCTTTTTTTTTTAATTTATTTTTTTATTCTTATGTTAATCCCCATACATTACATCATTAGTTCTAGATGAAGTGTTCCATGATTCATTGTTTGTGCATAACACCCAGTGCTCCATGCAGAATGTGCCCTCCTCAATACCCACCACCAGGCTAACCCATCCTCCCACCCCCCTCCCCTCTAGAACCCTCAGTTTGTTTTTCAGAGTCCATTGTCTCTCATGGTTCGTCCACCCCTCCGATTTCCCCCACTTCATTCTTCCCCTCCCGCTACCTTCTTCTTCTTCTTCTTTTTTCTTAACATATATTGCATTATTTGTTTCAGAGGTACAGATCTGAGATTCAACAGTCTTGCAAAATTCACAGCGCTTACCAGAGCACATACCCTCCCCAGTGTCTATCACCCAGCCACCCCATCCCTCCCACCCCACCCCCCACTCCAACAACACTCAGTTTGTTTCCTGCGATTAAGAATTCCTCATATCAGTGAGATCATATGATACATGTCTTTCTCTGTTTGACTTATTTCACTCAACATAATACCCTCCAGTTCCATCACGTCGTTGCAAATGGCAAGATCTCATTCCTTTTGATGGCTGCATAATATTCCATTGTATATATATACCACATCTTCTTTATCCATTCATCTGCCGATGGACTTTTTTCTTCTTTCTTAATTTATTGCCCAGAGTTAGGCAAATGACAAGGTTTGAGGGCACAGTCCCCAAGACTTCTGACACCAATTACAAATTTGGGGGTTGCCCCCAAAATGAAAAAAAATTAAAAATTAAAAACAAATTTGAGGGTTCCCAAACCACCTTCACTTTTGATAATCCTCTGGAAGGCCCCACAGAGCCCACAGAGAGCTGTTACTCTCATGGTTGTGGTTCACGACAAAGTCAGCTAAGGGAAGAAGTACAGAGGGCAAAGTATGGAGGCCTCCACATGCAAAGCTCCGGTTGCTGCCTCCCATGGAGTCAGGACATGTGACCCTCCCAGCATGCGTGTGTGATAGTAGCATGGAGTATTGCAAACCAGGGAAGCTCATTTGGTGTCCAGATTGTATATCGGAGCTTCTGTTATGTAGGCATGATTGACTGCACATATGGCTGAACTCAGTCTTCAGGTCAACTGATGATACATGATACAACTTTCCACCTAAATCACATGGTTGGTCTTTCTGGCATGATCAGCCCCACCTCAAAGTCCAGATTGGCCTGCCGTCATCTAAACAAAGGCACTTCTATCAGGTATGGCACAGATTACCTCCAAGAAGCCAAAGACAAAGGCTAGACCTTCTCTTCAGGCAAGCCCAAATTCTTGACTACACAGGCCATTCCCTGGCCTTTATCCAAAGCTCTCCGACAGCAAAACAAATATATGCCCTAACATTTGGAGGAGGCAGGGTAGAGTAGGAGGCTCTTAACTCAATTTCCCAATAGATTTGACCAACAATATCAGTAGTACAATCTTACTGATAAGCCAATGTTACACCACATCCCACAAGATGGGCAGTAGATATAACCTGAAAAATAAGAGTCAAAAGATAGTGGCATATCACTGGAATGTCACTCAGTCATCAACAACTGGTCCAGCTCATCATCACATCATATGTCTCCCAAAGCGATCCCACTCAGGTTTGCAGGTTTCCATTCAACTCTATCAGTTTCTAGAAACAGGAGTGCTCACCATCCCCTAAGACATCTGGTATACCTGAGCTCTCATAGGCGACAATATCATCTCTTGCTCTGAACCTCCTTCAAGGTGTTAATGTAACACTGGATTTTACTTGTTGCATAGCCCATTTATTTGTTCTTTTACCCTCAACTACTATTTCTCCTTCTCTCTGTGACTTATTTTTACTCAGACTTTCTCCCGTTGGAGGGAACGCTAGGTTCAGCCTAGTTCTATGCTGTTCCAGATTCCTAGCACTGCTACTAGTTGAGCAAAAGCCTCCCCCTTGGTCCATTCCCATTCATATAGGGTAAGGGGACACACGTACACAACCTGTGGGCTTTCTCAACCGCCAGGCAACACAACTGCATTCGCTATCAATCCCAATTTCATCAGATGGAGTGAAAGCATAACCACCCCCACATTGATGTCTTGGAATTCTACTATTAAGGTTTAAAAATATAGTTACAGTTTCTTGCTTGGGGAGCATCCTTGATTCTAGCACCTGCATTTGAAGTCCCAGTCCTTGGACTCACCGCATCAGGGAGAAAAATAAAAGAGTTGAGGCAATGTGGAGAAAAAAAGCCAAAGGTATGGTCATCCCGTCTTCTCTCCATGGGAAGAACTGCATAGTCATACCAGCATT